CTGGTCTGGTGGATGGATGGGAAAGGCTGTGCTCACTGAGAAGTGGACTCTCTAACACTGAAGCTTATCAACAGGCCAGGATCACTTCACTTGCTCCAAGGTCCACAGCTCTCCACATGCTGGGCTGGGGGGGGGGACAGGCCTTGTCCCCCTCCCCTTTTATGAATTCTGATCTTTCTCTGTAGATTTTTAAAAGGCAAACAATTAAATACTAGTAATGTAGAAAATGCTTTTAAAACTGAAGTGAGAGGAATTCAGAGTGATCTTTGGACACTGGAAGACATGAGGTCTAATGGGATTTGCCTTTTGGAGACAGTCAAGAAATCCCCCCTAAAGAGACAGATTGAGCCTTGGGTGGCAGCACATGCCCTTTGCACTCAGAAGGCTGAAGCAGGAGAACTGATAGGAGGTTAAGACCAGCATGGGGTGAATAGTGAAAGCCTGTCTAAATGGGGGTGTTGGGGAGGTGACTCAGCAAGTTAAGAGTCTGAGTTGAGATCCCCAGCACACATGTGAAAAGCAAGGCACGGTGGCATGTGCTTATGTCCCTAGCACAGGAGGAGGAGAGTCTTAGCCAGTGAGCTCTGGGCTCTGATAAAAGAAAGGAAGAAAGAAAAAAAGAAAGAAAGAAGGAAGGGAGAGGGAGGGAGGGAGGGAGGGAGGGAGGGAGGAAGGAAGGAAGGAAGGAAGGAAGGAAGGAAGGAAGGAAGGAAGGAAGGAAGGAAGGAAGGAAAAGGGAAAAAGATTAGTTGGAAAATGATTGAAGGAGATCTCTCTCTCTCTCTCGCTCTCTCTCTCTCTCTCTCTCTCTCTCTCTCTCACACACACACACACACACACACACACCACAAAACCGAAAGATAAGAAGAAAAACATTTCAGACCACGCCAGACTTGAAATTGAAAACTATACAAAAACATCAATGTCAAAGAGAAAATTTTGCAAGAAAAATGCCTAATCAGTAGAGATTTAATGGGCCACTTTAACAGAGCAAGAAGAAGTGTTGATATTCCATGCCGGCTATTTTATAATCACCAGAGTACTTAGCTTCATGTAAGCCATCTCGTACTCATTAAAAGTAAGGGTAATTTTATTCATTGGAAAGAATGTCCAAATTTATAGCATTGTAATTGCTTGGGGTTATCCATTTTGATAGAGAAAGCTCCATATTTGGCAGAGGTCAGGGATGACCAGATGGGAGACTCAGCTATTGTGCCCAAGACCTCAGGGTCAGTATGACATTTGGGGTCTATTTCAACCAAACATGGCTGGGTTATGCTGTGGTAATAGACACCTGTCTTAATTTACTTTAAAACACTGTACCAGAATACCATAGACTGGATTAATTAGCAATAAACACAGACCTCTTTGACTAATAGTTTTAGAATCCAGGATCAAGTACCAACAGATGACCTAGGGACTTTGTGCTTCATCATCCCATGGCGGAAGGTCAAAGGACAAGAGAGAGGAAAGAGGAAATGAAATAATAAACCAGAGGGGGGGGGAGAGAGAGAGAGAGAGAGAGAA